AATTTTTTTTTTTGCTTTTGTCCTCTTTCTTTCATGTTCTCCTTTTAAGTGATTTTACATAATTTAATCAATTTTTCTTTAATTTGAAAGGTTAAACAACTTATACTACTTCAATACAATTTTTGTTTATCATATTTCATCCGTTCTTTTTCAATTATAATAATCCACTTTTCATGTTTGTCAATGTATAAATTAGACCTTTAGTATTTTTCATTCTTTATTGGTAAAAAATTTAAAAAGTCAGATCTTGATAATTTAAAGTGAGAGAAATTAACAAAAAAATTCAAAAATTTAATTTGTAATACATTATTCAATAAAATATAGTCAAAGTAGAATATGTAAATAGGACAAAATCACAACCTTTGCAACTAAAAGAGAACGGGGTAGTATAATTTATAAAGTTTTTCAATAACATTTTTGCACTAAATATAAACTGATTTTTAGATATAATTGTGCGTGAACAATTTATATTGGCTAAAGGGTCAAATAGGCCCTTGAACTGACTTAAAGTGTTCAATTAGCCTCTTATATAAGAGGTTCTGCCCGGCCGTCGCTAATTGGGACAGTTCCCGGTGAAATTTTTTGATGAAATTTTTTGAGCATCTTTTTCATTAAGTCTAATTTACCCATACCAAATTTCAGCTAAAAATTCAACCGGAAAGGCAATAAAATGATTTTCCGAAATGTATTGCGCTGTTTAACTTCGCAAATTATACCGTGGGATCGGTCCACCATCCACATGGTGTACCGATCCCAATACGGTATCCTTTTGCGATTAAAAAAGAGAGGAGAGAAGCGCCCTTCCTGTTTTGCATCTCAAGTTGCTTTTTGTGAGGAGGCTCTGCAATTGACGGCAAACCCCGATCAAGAAATTGACGGCCAAATAGCCATTTTCCATTGTCAAATCTGCCATAGCCACCTGCCATGCCATGGCTTGAAATTGAGCCCTAGGGTGATGAGGTGATCTAAGACTAACCGCAACTCAATCCGTCAATAAATCTAATTTCCCTCCAATTTATACGTACTCACCCAATCAATTTAGTTGTTCCCCACAACTCAACACCGTCAATATATTCACTCATCACATATTTTTTAGAATAAAATGCGTAACTTCTTACTTTTTTATTACACATCATTTATATGCTAAATTTATTTTAACAATAATAATGATTTAAAAAGTCAAATATTTCGATGTAGAAATAAATGGATTTGGAGTTTAATTTTTTTGTTACTCCAGATCTATTTTTGAAAAAAGTAACTGAGATATGTTTGGAAAAAATAGTCTAACAATAAGATCATAATTTTAACACTTGGATTTAAATAATAAAAAATTGGACCTAAAAATCTCAACCTGATAAATTTTATTATTTTTATTTTAACTTTATATAAACAATATTGATGTCATATGAAAGAGAATAAAAAATCACAAATTTTGATATATTATTTATAAAAATAGGAAAATAAATAAAAAGTTATAATGATTCAAATAAAATTGAGAATTTTATTTGAAGTGGACCCTCCTGTTTTATTCTTCCAACTCGTGCCAAAGTGATTGCAAGAACTCCTCTCTCATGGGGTGAATGAAGGTCCTGGCTTCCCACTCAATCGTTCTCCCAATCCACTATCACTCCCTCAAATACAAAAAAAATGCTTGGGTTGCAACATATTTGGGGTGAAAACCTTAAATTTGGGGTCTCCACCCCCACCCATTGCGGACAGCCTAAAGAGACTGCTTGGAACCTTCCACCTCTCCGGTTGCCGCTTGCTGCGTCGGAACATAAATATTCCTCCACCAGGCTTCTAATGAAGAAGACTCACCTTCACGAATTATGTCAGAATCTACAAAAATTCCTTTGAGAAATTGAGGAAGAAGCAATAGCGAGTGACTCTGCCTCAATTTAAGGTGTGTTTGCTATTGCTTTAAAAAAGGACTTTCAACTTTTTTGGAAGGTAAAAGCTAAATGAGGTGTTTGCAAAAGAAAAATTCAACTTAATTTAATCACTTTTAAGCCAAAAGCCAAAAGCAGGTCTGGGCATGCTTTTTTCTGCTTCTTGGTATTTCCGTAAATAAGTTCAACTTTTTCGGATGTTTTTATTTCTAAATATATCAACTACTCCAAAAGTACCCTTACCCCAAGAAGGGTCGTACAGATCAGAGCATCATCTTCCCTCATCCCTATGTGACACCCACCTCCCCTCCTACAAAAATTGCAGTCGGCCGATATGCTTCGCTACACCAGACCACCAGTCCACCGCCGCCACTCCCGCAGCAGATCTGCTTCGCTGCCGCAGGTCCGCTTCGTCGCCGCCGGTCCGCTTCGTCACCGCCATTACCTCTTTGTAGAATTCCCTTTTCATTTGTATTTTGTATGCCTACTATTTTGCTTTAACAGCTCATTTTGAATGTTTTCTCCGCGCCTGAAACATCTTTTTGTTGGCAAGGGATGGAGCATCTTACCGTAGAGTAGGGGTGGGATTTTGGAACCGGGAACCGTAGAACCGATTGGAACCGAACCGTTAACAACATCTTGGAACTGAACCGTTAACAATTAATGCCTCATTTGTAGGAACCGAACCGAAGTAGGTTATAACGGTTCGGTTCTTGGTTCCTATAAAAAATATGTGCATGGAACCGTTAAGGAACCATTATTAAAAAAATAAAAAATAAAATAATATTAGTAGTAGTAGTAACAATAATAATAATAATAATAATAATAATAATAATAATAATAATAATAATAATAATAATAATAATAATAATAATAATAATAATAATAATAATAATAATAATAATAATAATAATAATAATAATAATAATAATAATAATAATAATAATAATAATAATAATAATAATAATAATAATAATAATAATAATAATAATAATAATAATAATAATAATAATAATAATAATAATAATAATAATAATAATAATAATAATAATAATAATAATAATAATAATAATAATAATAATAATAATAATAATAATAATAATAATAATAATAATAATAATAATAATAATAATAATAATAATAATAATAATAATAATAATAATAATAATAATAATAATAATAATAATAATAATAATAATAATAATAATAATAATAATAATAATAATAATAATAATAATAATAATAATAATAATAATAATAATAATAATAATAATAATAATAATAATAATAATAATAATAATAATAATAATAATAATAATAATAATAATAATAATAATAATAATAATAATAATAATAATAATAATAATAATAATAATAATAATAATAATAATAATAATAATAATAATAATAATAATAATAATAATAATAATAATAATAATAATAATAATAATAATAATAATAATAATAATAATAATAATAATAATAATAATAATAATAATAATAATAATAATAATAATAATAATAATAATAATAATAATAATAATAATAATAATAATAATAATAATAATAATAATAATAATAATAATAATAATAATAATAATAATAATAATAATAATAATAATAATAATAATAATAATAATAATAATAATAATAATAATAATAATAATAATAATAATAATAATAATAATAATAATAATAATAATAATAATAATAATAATAATAATAATAATAATAATAATAATAATAATAATAATAATAATAATAATAATAATAATAATAATAATAATAATAATAATAATAATAATAATAATAATAATAATAATAATAATAATAATAATAATAATAATAATAATAATAATAATAATAATAATAATAATAATAATAATAATAATAATAATAATAATAATAATAATAATAATAATAATAATAATAATAATAATAATAATAATAATAATAATAATAATAATAATAATAATAATAATAATAATAATAATAATAATAATAATATAATAGCAATAATAACCACCACCACAACAACAATAATAAAACAATATAAGATATTTAACTAACAATTCTAATTTAATCAACGGAAAAGAAGTAATAAATATTGTACATGAGGTTGATATATACATTAAACTCCTTTCTACAAATCAAGTTTTGTTTCATCACATAAATTTTATAAATATAAAATAACCCAAATAACTTGTAGTTGATTGCACATATTTTACTTTACTATTTTTATAATATTTCTAATTATTAGATTTATTATGAATCAATAGAATGTGATAATATTTTTTTTATATCTATACATGCAAACTCAATGTCTTTTTTTTAATGTTTTGAAAGACTTGAAGTAGGCGTCCTATTCTTGCTACTATGATGACGAGTAACCTTCATCGTTCCGACACTACACCGATTTTTAATGTTTCATTTATTACATGAAAATTTAAATCACTTTTGTTCTATTAAGTGTTTAAAGTTCATTAGTTAAGTTTGAGCTTTAATGTTTGAAGTGATTAGAGCTTCAAATAAAATTTTAATACTCGTGTTTTGAATTTTCGACGTGTTTAAAATTATATGTTAATTCTTAGACGAGAAAAATTATTCTAGGAACCGGTAAAAGGAAGAACCGAACCGTTTACTACCGGTTCGGTTCCATAACGGTTCTTGATTTTTTATAAGGAACCGAACCGATTTCATTAGTTAAAACTTTTATAACGGTTCCACTCATTTTGAGTAAGAACCGAACCGGTCCCAGCCCTACTGTAGAGGCATGATTATATAATTGGAGGTTATTTTTGTAATTTAATAAAATATTACATTAAAAATCATTTTTTATCAAACACTCCAACTTTTACATTTTAATCTTTGAGCCCATTTCTTTTGGGCTCAAAGATTAAGAAAGTGGTTAAAAAGGTAAAAGTTGTGGTTGAGATTTGAGTAGAAAAAAGGTGAAATGATGTGGATCACATCTTTCTTTCCAAAAAGGGAAATGAGACTATCAATTTGGGACGGCCTAGAAAGGAAATACGGGACTATCATTTTGGGACAGAGAAAGTATAATACTACATATACGTAGTATGATATACAGAGTATGATCATGATGAAGCTCTCCTGTAACTTTTAATGGGTACTACAAAAGCATTACTAAAATTAAACTTATGAACAAAAATTTGATTTCGAGTGCACTTGGATAGATACTGTAGTATAGAAATTGAACTTGATATAAGTCATTAAAATTTACTAATTTAAATTAAGTATTTGTTTGTACACCATGTTTATTTTAGTCATATATTAATAATTATTTCTACTTTTAATATGGGAACCCCGTCTCTATCATAACCAATGCAAATCTTAAGCTATTCCCTCACCTATAGAAGAAGCCATGAATCAGGACGATGTGTTAATGGGTGCATACAGTTCGGCAACAAACTGAAAGGCCATAATGACCAAATCCGATTCCAAAACCAAACAACAGGGTTAATGAGGTCATCATCATCTTCTTCCTCTTCATGGTGAAAACGATTTGTCCCAGAAGGATGATTATCTTCTTTGTCATATTGGGTTGGGGAGCTTTGCAGAACACAGCGACAAACAGGACAGGTGTTGTGGATTCGAAGCCACGGGAGAATGCAGAGAGAATGGTAGAAATGCTTGCAAGGCAGCTCCCTCACTTCATCACCAACCTCAAACTCATCCTTGCAGACGGCGCAGGTCGAGTCGCTGGCCAAATGAGCTGGAGTGATCACCACTCTCTGTAGAGATTCAATGGCTGAAGATGTCGCCGGAGGCGGCCCAAATCTTTCATCTTCATCAGGAGCGCTGGACCCTTAGAAAGATACAAGCCCAACATATTACAACTTGTATTGGGGAATTGAAATTCAATAAATACCATTAAAATATATTCGCGTATTAGAAATTCCTCAGGATAGGACCTAAACATATTTAAAGTTTAGTTGAAAGAATTAGTTGATTAAAGCTTACTAAAACAATGAGAATCTTATCTGTGAATTTTATGATTGTTTTAGTCCTATTTAGGGAGTTTGAGAATGGGAGGGGAATGCTTTGAAGATTACAGTAGGAGGAGAATGGAGGGAACCCCTCTGTTTAGGAGTTAGAGTTCAGAAAACAAAAGATTAGGAAAGAATTATAATTAAAATGGCTTCAGAGTATAACATATGGAAACGATTGTATTAATATAGTTTAACTTAAAGTTATTCTTCAAAAATGACAAATCTGTGGAACTTGAATGAGCAAAAGAACTTAAAGTATAGGCAATTTGAAAGGTTTTGGAAAGTTACATATAAAATCTAAAACCATCCATTCTACTTTTTAAACTCCCAAACAAAAATAGAGGATCACCAAAACCTCCTCACCCTCCTCCCCCCTTCCAAATAACTTCAAAACATACCCTAAATGCTCAAACCTTAATACTATCGTATATCTTACCGGGGGCGGTATCAAATTGATCATTTTCATCTGAAGAGACCGGCATAGGAGGCCAGGGATTAGTGAGTTCTTCTGGACCAATAAACTGTGAGATCACACGAGAACGATGGACTTGCCGGAGATCACGGTCCTGGTCATCTTGACCGAGTGGGGGATCCAGCAGGACAGCCAAAGTATCAAGCAACCCTCCTCCTCTTGGAGAGCCTTCTTCTTCTCCCCTCCTCCTAAGTCTGCTTCGAGTAGCATCCAGTTCGAACCGGACTTGGGCAAAACAACGGGGGCATAAAATTCCGATGGGGTTCGACGAAACAGTTCTGACCGATCTCTGGCATTGCCTGCACCAGTAGTAATGGTATCTTCTCATTCTCCGGAATCCATTCACCCGGATACCCACTCTTGGAAAAGGGTTCATAGGCATCAGATAGGTCAAGGGAGAGAATATGTTTTTATTAAAGGGCAGAAAAGTTTACACTAAAGCTTTTATTATAGATATATATAGATGTATGGACTATGGAGGTCCTGTTGAGAATGAGAAGGAGGAATGGCAAACTAAGGATGACTTTCTGGGATTGCAGTCTTCCTTCTAGCAAAATTTCTAAACGGGGTTTGGTTTGCTTTGCCCCTTTTGCACATCTATCTTTTCTTCATCCTTCATGTCTCCCCTCATCTCAAGTAAAGAACAAGCTAGTAGTAATAATAATAATTAATTAAGAACTTGGAGTTTATGAGTAAATTTTCAATCTGCATGCATGCAATACACTTTCCAATCTGAGTCAACAATGGAATATTTATGAAAAAGATTTGCAATTTAGCCCCGTAACTATAGCTACCCAATGTTATTAGTCTTTTAACTTTATTCATTGCCAGATGAGGTCCTACAACTAATCAATATGTGCAATTTAAGAACTTTGCCACCAAAAGTACCCTCTACAACGTATTTTTCAACACCCCAAACGTCCTACAATTGTAAAAATGGATATACAAGTAAGATTAATTATAGGACTATTAATGGACACGCACAATTGAATGTCACAGGATTAAAATTGTAAATATCCGAATTTATCATATACTGTACTAGAGGCTGCTTAGGGGCCCTTTTCTTCATCTTAATCAACAAACCCAAATGTAGTAAAATCGTTTTCCTCATTTTGAGCTTGAATAGATAATGTATTCATATAGCCTTTCTAACGAAATGAGTTTGTCACAAGTGATTTGTGTTCAACATAATTTCCTCCTAGTCTGGGTTTCTGCACTTCTACATCGATACATGACCTCACAATTAATTCATGCATCCCTTGTCCACCGCATCTCCACCCTTTTTCAGTTTAAAAATGAACCTGCATGCTTTGAAGTTGTTTCCCGTCAAACATAACTAAATAAAAAGAATGTGATCAGGATAGAACCGGCTGATTCCGATCCCCAACTTGAAGAGCTTGGGACTCTAAACTCTATGTAGTTATAGTTTGGGCCCAGAATCACCTGAAGCGATCCCAATCCTGGTCTCTATTTGATCCTATTTTGGGATTGGGATCGTGACCACCAGCCCCCTTGTCACTCCATCTCCACCCTTTTCAGTTTTAAAATGAACTTGCGTGTCTTTTTTATTGTTTCCCACCAAACATAATGAAATACAAGAATGTGACCAGTATAGAACCGGGCAGTTCCAATCCCTAATTTTAGGAGCTCGGGACTCTAAACCCTCTCTTAATACAATTTGAGCCCGTAATCATGTAGACTGATCCCAATCTCAATCCCGGTCTGTGTTTGATCTCCTATTTTGGGACAGGGATAGTGTCGATCCCTAATCCCTCCATACTAGGGAGTAGGGAAAGGGAAAATTTAAGAAGTAGAGAAAATTTAGAAAAAGTAAACATACTACTATCTCTGTCTCATACTCCGTATTGGTTATCCACTTTCAATTTGGCACGAATATTAATAAAGTGGTTGAAAAGTAAAAGTAGTGATTGGGATTTGATTAGAATAAAGTAAAATGATAAGGACCACATATTTCTTGCCAAAAAAAGAAACAAGACATTCATTTTGGGACAACCTAAAATGGAAAGTTGGAAAACCAAAATGGGACGGAGGGAGTACGTATAAAGTAAAAGTAATTAAAGAGAGATAAGTTCGGAAAAGGAAAATTGTGGGACTACTACTAAACTAGACATGTAATGAGTAGAAAAGAGAAATGTAAAGATGTAATTAAAGAGAGTAAATTATTTCCTAAAATGGATTGGTACCTTTAAATGGGACACTCAAATAAGGAAAGTGAAAATATTTCAATGGTACGAAGAGAATATATTATTTGTAGAAACAACATGGAACCAAGCCAAACCTTTACGGTGCAGTTCTAGTCATTTTTTGGTCCTTAATTTTTTTAAAATCTCCTACAAATATCACTGCTAAATTTGTGGTGATCCCATAATTGTATATGAAATACAAATACATTCAAGATTACCATAAGTTAAGTTTCAAACATAATAAGTACATAACAAATTAAGAATTTTAGTAAAGAAAATAAAAGTGTTATTGCCCTAAATAAGGCAAAATTATTGCTGAAATTTCTAAATAGGAGTATGTATCTTTTTATTCCCTAAATAGGAGTTTTGTTCCACATTTACCCTTTCCTTTAATTTAGTTTTCAAAAATCGCTTGCCCACACTTTTCTCCCGTTCGTCTTCTACAATAGGGCCAGGCCTTGTTCATCTCCTCAACAAGGATCTTCAATAGGAGGCAGCAGCGACGACCTTTGAGCTGAGGCAGCGGCAGTGAGCAACGATCTTCAGGTCCGGTAGGCGAGCAACGATCAACGGCGGCGAGCAGAAGGGACCAGCGGCGAGCGTCATCCAACAGGGGTGGAGCATCCACAAGTCGTGAATCCAGATCCGGTGACCGAGTTGAAGTAAGTCATTGTTTTCCCCTCTTCTTCTATCATCGTTTTCTTCTTCCTTCATTTCTCTTCATCTTCTGATTTTCTCTTCTTGTTTAGTTTATTACAGATCTCGTTTTGTGTTTCATATTTGAGTTTTTAAAAATGTCAAATTTTGTTTCAGAATGCCATGAAGATGGCTTTATTGCTCTTCAAAAATGTCATCTTTTTCTTTGAAAATGCCAATAAGTTGGCATTTTTTATTCATGTTGGCATTCAGATCAAGATGATGATGGCATTAGCGTCGTCACCGGCTAGATTTGCAGCGACAGAGTTTGGATCTGCAAAGGTGGCGGCCGAATTTATAGGGGCGGCTAGCAGGCGGCGGCGGCAAGATTTGGCTAGATCGACGGTGACGGCGGTCAGATCTGCTATGACAATGGCCAGATCTGCGGTTGCGGCGGCGAGATCTACAGAGGTGGCCAGTTCTGAGGTGGCTGGTAGCAGCTGGTGTTGGTCCGGCGGCGGTTCGGCGTCCAACCAGCGCCGGTCCGGCATCCTACCGGCGGCAGTGTGTTTTTTAGTCTTCAAGGGCGTTTTTGTCCAAGTATACATAATAACTCCTATTTATGGAATTTTTAAACTTTAGTCCTATTTTAACAATTAAAGATTTATTTACTCCTATTTAAGTAAATCTCCCAAAATAAAAAAGACATTCACTACAAATCTACAAGATGAATCGGTTAAATACTTGTCAAGTTATCAACTTTATTACCTAAACTAAAGTTGATAACTCAAGCTCGAGTTCGAGCTCGATATTTTTTATCAAGCTCGAGTTCAAGCTCGAATTCGGCTCGAGTCATTTATCAAAGCTCGCGAGCATTGCTCGAGTTCGGCAACCAATCAACCAAAGACTGCCCATTGAAAATCAAGTATATTAAATACGGAGTAATAAAATTAAATGTTTACTTATTACGGATGGCTTCTAGTATAAGGATGTTTTTACTTGGACTAATTTGCTGGTCTGGTCTGGACTGGTCTGGAAAGATCTGTTTTCTTTGTATTTTTATAACTATCCAAGTCTGGTCTGATCTGAACTGATCTGGGACAAATTACAATCCAAGTTAAAACATCCTAAGTGAGTCTACTAAGTAGGCCTTCCCATCCAACCATATTTTTATAGGAATTTTGGAAACCAAACCGTTAAAAAAATAGAAATCAAACCTTTGGTTTGAAATCAAACCAAATCGGATCATAACAATTTAATTCGGTTTGATTTGTCGTTTCTTGGTTCCAAAGTCTTGTCCCTAAAATAAACCATGCCAAACGGCCCATTGAAAAATCAAAACAAATTGGGCCGAAAATGGACCGTGCCAGAGCAAATGGCGAGTGGCATTACCTGTCTTGTCCGTACTCCACCGTCGGCTAATGAGGGTTATCCGAACTTCTCCGTCACAGAGAGTAAAGTTTAGCTTCAGCCAGAGAAGAATCGTTCCATCTCTATCTAAACTGCCATGGAGGTTGTCATCCCCTCCGTCCGCTACTGGCTGGTGGATCACCCAGCAATAAGCCAATTCGAGTGGAAACAAGGACACACATTAGGCTCCTCTCCCCTTTTCCTTGCCCTCACAGTCATCACCTATCTCGTAATAACTCTCTCTCTCCACCGCTCTGGCTTTCTCCCACCCCTCTCCTCCGTCTCCCTCCGCGTCATCACCGCCGCGCACAACCTCATCCTATGCCTCCTCTCACTCGTCATGGCCGCCGGATGCTCCCTCGCCGCCTTCCACCAGATGCCCAATCGCGATTGGAGATGGGCGATCTGCTTCCCGGCCAATCACACGCCTCCGCGTGGACCGACGTTCTTCTGGGCCCAAGTTTTCTACCTCTCGAAGATTCTCGAATTCATTGACACCCTGTTGATCATCCTCAGCGGGTCCCGCTCCCGACGGCTCTCCTTCCTCCACGTCTACCACCACGCCGTGGTGGTTGTGATGTGCTACCTCTGGCTGTCGACGGCGCAGACGCTGTTCCCCGTCGCACTGGTCACCAACGCCTCCGTTCACGTGCTAATGTACGCCTACTACTTGCTCTGCGCGCTGGGTTACCGCCCGTGGTGGAAACGGGTGGTAACGAATTGCCAGATTATCCAGTTTGTGTTTAGCTTTGCGATTTCGGGGGTGATGTTGTATTTTCACTTTACTGGGTCGGGTTGCTCCGGAATATCGGGTTGGTGCTTCAATGCTGTTTTCAATGCTTCCCTTTTGGCTCTATTCCTTGATTTCCACTCCAAGAATTATCGAGACAAGAGGAAAGACGATGCCAAGAAGAAACAGTCATGATTTGTGTTGATATTTTGTTGTATTTCTCCAACTTCAAGATGATATTTGGGCTCATTTTGTAATGGTAGTATTTTAATTTGACACGACTTTAAATTTTATACTCCGTATTGTGTACTACGTAATAAACTATTTCTCCAACTATTTTAATTTGACACGACCTTTTGGCTCCAACTACTACGTGGTTTGTTACCGATTTTTGTAACTTCTTTCAATGTTTGGAACTTAAATATAATATATGAAGCTATTGACTAGGACTTTCACTTGTGTTAAATGTGCACGTTGTTGAGTATGTTGTTATTTTGAGATTTTCCAATGCCGTATATTATTGATTTTTGGAATTCGTATGTTGTTACTATTTTTAAGACATACAAACAGGAACCGAAAAACCCGAATCGGATCGACCCGTTTCAAATGGGCCGGGTAAGGTCTGGTTCCTATATTCAAAATTGCAATACCCGGACTGGCGGTTCTATTTTATTTGGCATTACCCGCCCGGACCCGGCCCGCGCTCAGCCCTAGTATGAAGTACCATTTATATGCTTTAAAGCCAACTTGTTTTCTAAATACTACGTGGCCATTTCGAGGGCCAAAATCGGGCTGAAAAGTCTTAAAATGCAAAAAAAAAAAAAAAAAAAAAAAAAACACTCATTAGATGGGTTATTATGGCTGATTACTATTTTCAGGCATTGCAGCCATTACTGAACAAGCCCTACATTTGTTATTTTACGTATGAAGTATTAAATAGTACTTCTCTCGTTCTTTAATTCTCGCAACATTGTGATTTTTATACTATTCACAAACCTTACTTTGATCAGGATTTTCTACTAATATACATAATCAAATTATTACGTATAGAATGTTATTGAATTCCTATCAATATGAATTTCCAAAATATCAACTTTTTATAAAGTTTACTAATACATAATTAAATATAATTACAGTCAAAATTATTCATTGGCAAACGTGAAAATCAAACTGTTGCAAGAATTAAAGAACGAGAGATAGTATAATAATAAAGATATACGGAGTATACCCTTTATACCCTTTCTATATTTGGTAAAGGTAAATATTTATTTTCATTTTTCATTCTATTTTTTCATTTAATAAACTTATATTTTTTCACAATACTGTGAATTCAACCAATTTCGTCATTTATATCATTTTTTCGACCACAATTTTGAAAATTTAAATAGGTTCATTGTCACCAAATGGCTCTAAATTGACCGAAACTACTAAAAATCAATCCCTTCGCTCCAAGATACCCCAACCAAATTAGCCCTAAAGGAAATAAAACTCTCAGTAGACATTCATCATATTGCCCAAACCGTAGTGCTCTACAAATATACATGAATATGTATTATTTAACACTTTTATCTACTTGTTCATCTCCTTTCTTTGGCCAAGCCCTCCAACTTATCAACTTCATACGGCACCACCACAACTGTGGCTGCCGGGACAGTGTCCCACCGCTCCTTGAGAAAACTCTCGAATCTCAGAACCATCTGCCTCCGAAACTCAAGCTCCCTTGTGAACATATCAAAGATCAGAAAGGAAAGAATATATCTGAACGGAACAATCAGTAAAATGGAAGCACCAAACAGAAGCACCAGGGCAACCTCCATCGTGATCTGTGGCTGTCCCGCAAGAACAACTGACCGTAATTTAAGCAATGAAACATTGAGACTCTGGAGACACTTCTCTAACTCCTTCAATGCTTCTTTGAGAGCAATGATCTTCTGAATCGTGTTTGAAGGCGGTTGGTCACAGATCGTGACTTTCCCAAAGTATCTCCCGAGGCGGCCTTGCTCTTTCAACCCCTTGAGTAATAGCATCCCTCCCGCCAAAACCATTAAGGTTGCAGGGAATATGATTGACAGCATGTCCCTGAAAATCAGGGTGTATGTCAGCACGAGACAAGACGCGGTTAGCAGCGGGTCCTCCCAACGCCTAAGCTTTTTGAAGTTTTTGCCCATGACCACTAATGGAAGCATCAGTTCCTTGAAGAGGGCAATATTGCTAGGGATTCCTTCAATCATTGCAGCATTAATGGTTTCCCTTGTTCTCTCCACCACCCTGCATTTCTCTCTCCACACCGTAGCTGCCTTCTCCATGACATTCTTATCACCAACCACGAGATTTTTACTGAAGACTATTACCCCCTGTTTCACTGAACAGCTCCTCCAGAAGGAGAGTGAGGAGTTCGAAGCCCATGTTGGTGATTTCATCCATTTGCACGAGTATACGCTTCCGTCTATGTCGAACACATGAGTCTCCACTGTCTCATTTGATCCAGAGCATTGATGTTGTTTCTCTGTTAAAGGCTGAGACCAGCAGTTCACTGCTAGGGTCTGCAGCATGACATCACTGTAGGGCAACGAGTCTTGCAGGTATGAGAACAGGACCAGTTTGTCGGGATCATCTAGAAGCTTCCCAGAAATTTGAAGTGCCTGGAGTCTTGATATTGCGTTAGTAGCATAAATGGTTGCTTTTATGTTCCCTTTATCAGATTGACGCTGGTCAGAATCCACATTGGGTCCAAATCCTTCTATGAATTTGTATAAAGAAATAACTTCATTGATGCATGCATACCAGACATCCCTCCTCATGTCACCTCCCAAATCAATGAACTCTAATACCCATGCTTCAGATCTGTCATGCAAAGTTTGTGAACAAATAAAATGACACAATTCTTGCAGAAACAGAAACTTGTGTTCATTATACAAATTAAAGTTTTATATAAAGAGATCAGACTTATATCTCAAAGAAAAATGTCACTATAGGTAGATCATTATCACAAGCTTCAGCGTTTGTGTACCAAAAGCAGTGAACAACTTCTGTTTTAGCCTTGTTTGGTTGGACGGTTTTGTAGGGGAGGGAATGAAAGTGAAGGACTTGTATGTGTTTGGTTGGGTGAAGTACGGGGGAAGGTGAGAGGAAAGTGGAGGAGCAATAAAACCCTTGAAACTCTTCATAACCCCCCGCCCCACCCAATTCGGAGGATTTTGGGGGAGTTCTTTGCTTCCTTATTCTATTTACCCTTTTCTTGAAACCAACAGTTCATATAATATTGTTGTCATACATGGAGAACATTTTTACTACACCAAAAATTATTTCAAATACACAATGGAGCCAAAGCCTCACTATTTTTTGGCTTGAGAATATGATGGAATAAAGCAAAATGGCTCAATAAATTGTTTGCGCTTCATTTTCAACCTGATTTTCACTATGGGTCATCCGGAAATACTCTCTCTGGGCTTTAGTTCAGGGGTAAGACCGCGTACATCCGACCCCCCCTTACCCCACCGTAGGTGCCTTTGCGACACCGGGGTAATGATGATGATGACACGATTTTCACAATTACAAAATACAAATTCTTGTTGATCCATATTTAACTGCATATACTATTTTTCATTTTTTCTGCTTCCCATCACCTCCTTGGAACCATATGGCTTAAAGAAACCTCTAAACAACTTTTCATAACTTCATAAGTTCAATAGGTTGAAAGTTGAGACATGACTTTTTTAACCCAACAGTATCATCACAAGTAAAAACTACTATAGTCAGAGCAATGAACAAACAGATCTGAATGAGAACTATGGTTAACAGATGATCCTTGGAGAAGCTTACTCACTCCTGACCGGAAGAGACAGATATAGCAGAGTCAAGAAGATCAAATCCCAAAGGGCCAACCCTGGTTTTCTTTACATGACAGCCATCTTTGCTGAGACCAAGTCTTAAAACTTCTCTTTTCCCCTTCAACCCTACACCCTAGAATAACACTGAAATGTGTAATAGAATCCTAGCAACTCAAACATGCACAATACATGATCTAAGATCCCCCCTAAGTTAAATTTAAATACCAAGGGTATTTGGATATCAAGAAAATTGTTTTATTTTCATTTCGTTCCTTCAAAACACCTCATATATATTTACTCAAGCAATTCAAACTTTAATACATGCCTTTCCAAAGATTAGGCATGAATTGCTAATTAAAACCAAAAGAACAATATCTATAATACTTATTAAAAAAAACATTATCTGCACTACTTTAAAAACAACATCAATATATCAATACTACTTTTATATATTTATAATAAAAAGAGCTATATGAGTATGGTAATACGTCCTACTTAGTTGTCACGCTACTTGGAATATAGAAATTTGTAGTACCTCAAAGTAAAGTGCCTTATCGGTTAAAGTCAGTGTGCCAGGCCATGCCATATTATTCTTCCATTTTAAAACTGGGGACTTCCCCCCTGAAGCAATAAACAGAATTCTCTCATCAGAAATATTAGGGAACTCTTGAAACTCATATGATTTCCATCTGTCATGCACCCTGAAATTAGTTACAGAATGTGTATGTAATTATGTGTATCAAAGAACCATAAATTCAGCACTCACAAAGAACATTTTGAAGATTGGGTGGCTGTTACAATTTATAATTCATTATAATGGGAGATGATAATGCTCACCTGAGAAGATCATTGATATAGGTCGACCACGAGGTGAATGACATGCCCCCATGTTCATTATCAGCAAGTGATTTGAAAAGGTTGTGTGCTGTTGACCAATCAGCCACACCTGATATGGCTGGAGCAATACGAACAAAAGCCTCTTCCCCTACCACCCTTCCCTTCAACTTTCAACAACAAAATATTGAACAGGTTAAGTTATAGGCTTATACCATTGACAGTTTGCACAGAATTGGGAGAAAAAATAAACACCCCTTACTGGAAATGCTAAAAGTCAAGTCTTAATTGAAGTTAAGCAACAAGAAATTGGAAGAAAATGTTAAACTATGAACATATAGGATCTATTTGGAGCCATGAAAAGGCTACGGAATAAAATAAGAAGGAAGCCGCAAGAGCAGTTTTAAAGGAAAACGCAGGAGGAAAGCGTGAAAAACGTTCAAATTCAATAAATAAATTTTGATAATTTTGTTCAAGCTCATTTTATGTATATACTTCCATTATATAAAAATATTTGTAAAACTTATAACATACGGAGTATAAAACATCTTCTGCAGAAATTTTCCCTCTCTCCCTGCCATTTCCACCAAACATAGCCATGGAAATGTATAGAGTGGATAACTACCTTAAAAGATTCCTTTGGTAGATATTCAGCTGAATAGTCATTAGAGCTGCTGCAGGGGTGTTCCCATGCAAGCATAGTTACAAATAATAGTCTTTGAAATGCAGGTTCCTGTGAAAACAGATCCAAACACCTAACTTGTCAATGATACTGGAGATATATTTATCACCATGAAAAATATCACTTGTTAATTACAACCATAATTCCTAATTGCAATGGTATGTTTTGTAAGGTCTGGGCATGATTTATCATAACAGGCTGAAGATTGAAGTAGAGGCATCAAATGATAAAACCTTAAGGTGCGGATGAATTTCAGAGGCATCCCTTGACAGAAACCTAAAGCAGCAATACTCCACCAAATTGCGGGCATCATCATGGATAAATTCAGGAACAAGTGTCTTAAATACCTTCTGCATTTTCTGGCCAGTCACCCCATTCATCCTGCATCTCTTACTCTTGAAAAGTCAAAAACAGTTTCCACGGTAAACTTCAAAACTTAAAAAAAGTTTGATATCATAGTATATTGTATTTAACAAAATAACATATCAAAGCAAGTTCTAATGGAAAAAAAGATGAACCATATCCATGTGGCCATATCTATCCATTTGAACCCAATTCCTAGCAGAAAGGCTATAGGTACGTTTGGAATTCCGGAAATCATAGGGTAGATAATGTAGGAAATATTTTGAAGGAAAGAATATACTCCCTCCGTTTCCAAAAGAAAGTCACGGTTTGACTTCACGATTATTAAAGAAATAAATTGACTTTACTGTAGAAAACACTGTTTAGACACTGTTTGATACTGTTTGGACACTGTTTGACACTGTTTCGCACTGTTTGGCACTGTTTGGATGTAGATTTCTTTGCCAAATAAGGAAATAAGGGAAGCGTGACTTTGTTTTTGAAACATCCCAAAAAGGAAAGTGTGAGTTTCTTCTAGAAACAGAGGGAGTATTATGAGATTATTATTATTCAAATTTAAATCTGATATTTATTCAAACTCACCTTATTTATCTATTTATTTCTATCATTTGGAATGGAGCCAAAGACTCATTATTTTTTTACTTGGGAATATGACAGAATAAAACAAAATGGCTCACTAAAATGTCTACGCTTCTTTGTTATAAAGCAGCAGTTAGCCCATGCAACTTTCGACGTGATTTTCACTATGGGTCATTCGGTAACAGTCTCTCTGTGCTTTAGTACAAGGGTAAGACTGCATACATCCGACCCCTTACCCCACCGTAGGTGGGAGCCTTTGCGGCACTAAGGTAATGATGATGATGACCTTATTTATCTATTTCTAATATACAAAGACTAAGAAATAATCTATTTGCATTTTTCATGCTAAAACCAAACACGACAAATAACTTCCATTGCACTTTTTCTTCCTTCCTGAGCATTTTCTGAGATCTGCACAGCTCCTACGAGTTCATCACCACCGCTCGGAAATGGTATAAGAGCAAAAAAGTAAGCTTCTTTACCGGCTGAATTGCTCAATGGAGAGAATAGCAGGCAAGGAAAGATCCCCCCTTGGCGTGTGCCTGTCAACAGTCTGTTCAGACACGAATATATCATCCACGTCTTGAGTGTCTTCCTGAGCGATCGACCTTCGATCATTAACACTTTTTACTAGTGGTGAAGTGACTTCAAGCAGAAAGTTTTGAGTCTTTGAAAGCCATTGATTTAATGATTCTTTCACTGAACCTGGGAACACATACCAAAAGCACTCATCCTTAAACCTTAGGACATCATAAAAAATGGTTGAAGCCTACCGCGGTAAAATTCAAGTTCTAAGATGGGTTATTCCTGAGACATTTACCAGGACCTACCCTAAGTATGTTTGAAAAAATTATTTAAAAAACGTGGAATAAATGGGGGAAATGAAGTAGAAAAGGGAAGTTCTGAAACCCTACTGGTGTCAATATGATTTAACTTCCATTTACTGTCGCCCAGCGATCTGCTGACCAGTTTAAACCGAAACTTGATACTGTTTGATGGAGAAGAAGAAGAAGACGATGAGCTAGATTTCTTATTACAACATAGAACCTTGAACAAGACTCGACGGTACTGAAGAGGCTGAGGAAGAACTGGGGAAAATGGGGGAGCCTTTCCCAACTTGCAGTTCATGGTCTGTCTCCCCTTTTCTTTTTGCATAGAAGTTTCTTCAGTAACCGTTGATTAGTTGAATTTTATGATCCTGGAAGGAAGAAATCATAGCTTGATGCTCTGAAGAAGAAGATTAGGATGCTTCACACAAGGGGTGAGAGTGTAAAACAAGATTGTTCTTAGACTTGGTTATTTGCAAATGCTTTAAAAAGACGCTTATTTTATTGAACACTATCCACTTTTATTTTCTCGGCTTTCGTGTCAGAAATTCTTTTACTTTTTCTATTACACAAAAACACTTATTTTACCAAACACTATCAACTTTTACTTTTCAAAATCACTTTTTCTCAAACACTATCAACTTTTATTTAATCATTTCTCCCCATTTTATTAAAAAAAAAAAAAACATTTTTTTAAAACATAACCTATTGTAAACAGACCATTGGACCAACACTCCAACCAGTTGTGCCATTAACTAGCTGACCCTCCTAATTTGAGTGGGGGTGATGCAATTAAATAAAAGATTTGAATACTTTTTTCTAATTTAAGAATCATGTGAGCTGATAAGCACCATAGTTACCTATGTTTTATATAGATAATTATGATTATTTGTACAAATATTCACAGACGAAACAAGTAAAAATCCCAATTTGAGCAAAACCGCATACAGGCGTCATAGATGAAGAAACGGGAATCAATAGTCAAAAGGGACCGAGAACTGAAACTTCGGGGTCAACTACGGGCGTAAAACGGAGCGAAAAATGAAGTATTGCAGTGCAGGGGAAAACCGGCGCCGGTCCACCCCTATAACCGGCACTGGTTATAATGTTTTTCAGTACAAATTCTGCGTCGAAATAAAATCGGCACCGGTCAAGCCTAAAATCGGCGCCGGTTAATCACGATTCTGCACAAAACAAGGAGATGTGCAGCAATATCCTGATGGGAAAACCTCACTTTCCTTATGATCTAAGCAAATATTTCATCCATGCGTAATTGTTGGATTTGAATAGACTAAAAGATGCCAATTTTTAGCCTATGTAAAGCCCTCAATTCATCAAACAAGATCATCAATCCATCCTTGAAGCTTAAATTTCAGTTTTTATATTTTATTTTTGCATTCCCTTGAAGTGTTGGAGAAGAAGTCATTTATATCCTCTACAATTGGTTCCAGGTACTATTTCTTGTATGTTATTGTATTTTCTTTATCTTATTTACACTTTTGTAATTAATATGAGCATTAGAGGCTAAGTTCTTAGCTAAGGCTAGGAATGAACTTTTATGCCCACTAGGTGTTTGATAAAAATTCTAAATCAATAAATTGTGATTTATCCTTTATATTTTGATTGTTTATGACTATGGTGTACAACATAGAAGTATGTTAAATTTAGTTTATACTTGCAAGTAACGTTGAAGTCTAAACTATGAACATTAAAGGATAAACATATATATTACCGAGAATACAAATATATCCGGTATTACATGATACGGGTGTGATATCTTGATATTCAACGGGGTATTCGGTATATGAATGTAAGCCGTAATGGGACTTACACGTAACGAAAATCACGTTCTCGCTGTCTTAACCGGAGTTGAGAATATATATGGGACATCGTATTCATAATTATTGGCAAAGAACTAATATTCAATCCTATTAAAGCATTTAAGTGATTCCCGAAGCCTTAATTGTTGTTATCATTCATCTTAAATTCAAATTAGTTAAAGATTATCTTATTGAACAAAAAAGTGAAAAGCCAAAAAAATAAAACACAACTCAAAATCCCTGCACTTTACTCATTTCTTTATTTAAAGTTATCTACTCTCGGACTTGAATTAAACAACGTTTTTCTGTGCATTCGACCCGGTATTTTACCGGAATTTATTACTATATTGGCACTTGTACACTTGCAAATTTAGCCCGGTCATGAGCATTAATTATAAACTTTAATACTAATTGAAACTTGATAGCATTTGTAGAATAAAATTCCTAAACTCTCTAAAAAAGAACAAAACACCTAATCTTAAGAAGTCCATTTGAGATTATAATACAACTCCACTCCAATATAAGTGCCCTTGCAATAAAAACATCTACTTTATTATAACTAATGAAGTAGCATATTGTAAATTGAAATTGTTTTGTAATTAAACTGTTATTAAGTCCAATCATTAAAATTGATAATTTTTGGATTTAGCACTCAAATTATTTTATCTAACATTTATCGGATGCCTTAACATTTAGAGAGTGTATGCAATTATTTCGGTTTAAAAAAATGACTTCTTAAAGTGATTTTGAAAAAAGTGTTTAATAGTTGTTGGGAGTTGGGATATATTATCTTGACTTATTCTTGTTAAGGAGTCCAAGGCAATACCCTAGTACGGAACCCAATTAGTTAGGTCCATTCCGGCCTGTACGGCTCATTCCGGCCAGGGCCAATCTTCTTCAAGGTTAGACAGGCTTGGGCCTCGGGGCCCCAAAAAATTGAAAAAATTAGGGGCCTACAATTTTATATACATTTTTCTTATGCATTTGTATTTGCTGGTATAAATCGCCCGCAGCCCGCTAAACCTCGTGCGATGATTTGACTAAAGAACTCGAGCAATGCGGTTTGCGAAGGAGTGAAGGATGATTGAGCCATAGAGGTGTGACCGTGTGAGCCCCTGTTCGGCAGTCTGGTTGTCCGGACGTCCGCCGTTCTGCTCCCTGGCCTAGCCTCTACCAACGAACTGAACGAAAGAGGAAGTTTTGGCTTCTCGGTTCTTTGGCTTGATACATAGCTTTTTCATCCTTCTAGGTTCTAGACTTCTAGCTTATATTTGTTAATTTTTTAAATTTTTAATTTCTTCTTTAATTATTTGTTTGTATTTTCATAAATTTTCTAACTTTATATTGATTCGCTAATGTGATATTTTTCATGTGTAAATGCGAAATGACCTAATTTTAAGGTTTTAAATGCTATAATTATTAACTTATTGTTATATTATTACCTTATTGGTTGGAATAGTTGGTCCATTGGAGATTATTGATTACAGGTATTTGCTTAAATAAATGCTATTTAAATTTTAAGACAGCTTGGTTCTTGACTTCTTGCTTGTTTTTTATTTAGAGTTATTATATTGCAATAATGGAATTCAAACGAATCAAATTATATGTTTTGTATTTGTAGAGAAAATTATTAATATATAATATAAATGATTCCACTAAATTATGCGTTTATTTACTTTTAGCATAGTGTAAGATTTTTATTTAAGTATTTTTTTTTTTAACATTTAATTTTAAAGAAGCTATATGACAAACAAACACTATGTATAGGGGGTCTTTTATGAAACTCGACTCAAGTCCGACTTTAGATAGGATCAGCACTGATTCTGCCCTTTGGACCCATTTTGGCCCATTACGGCAACCCTGTACCCCCTCCCATGTTTTCTATAAATAGGAGGTTTCCCTTCTTGTCTTGGGATCTCCTTTCTCTCTCTGGTTAGTCTTCTTCTTTCCCACCTTCCTCCTCCTCTCTAGATAGCTTAGGACATCCTAGGAAACGGTCGTTGCAGCGCTACTTCTCTCTAGATAGCTTAGGACTCCGTTAATGGGAGCTCAACTGATTCAACTCATTTCAGTGTTACCAAATAGACTATATTCATGTACACATTTGGAATTTTAAAGTATGTAGAAATGAGAAATACACTGAGGAGTTTAAAAATCCTACCCAACACTGAAGATGTGGTGCGAATAGAGAAAGTGCAGAAAAAATGAGCAAAACAATAAATCTGATGACACCTTGGAATGATTGATAACCAGAAGTCAATAAAAAATGCCACAAGATGACAATGACTATTACATGTACCCGTTTTACTCAAACTATGAATCGCCTCACAAGCTAGTAACATGACTCAAATGCTGTAAGTCATGAGTTCGTCACACTCGGAGGCAAAGACATACCCTCCTTATCTCCTACGGGCCATGTAGTTTCACAATAAATACAACTGGTCATTCTCATCCATTGAGGGGTGCTTGTAAAAAACTCAATTTGTTAACTCTTTCTCGTGTGCTTTGCTTTGTACTACTTTATAATTTGAACTTTGGTTTGGATATTTCAATTTTTAATAAATTTGGAAAAAATGTTCCCGGCGCTTTCTCCACTTCCAGTGGCATCTCCGGGATAAAAAGAACATTATGTATGATTTAGTATCAAATTGTTGAATCTTCCCTAAAGTGCACTTCATTTTATCATTTTGTATTAATTTTATATTATAAGATTGAATATACATTCTAGGGACCGATAGTATAATAGATTATCTATCTCTTGATTCCCACAATCAATTACGCGAGTTGGCGCTAAAGCTCCTTTCTGTGAGTGGTTGTTTGCCCTTTCTAATTTGTTTAATGAAAATCATTGATTTTCCACGACAGTGGTTTTTTTCCTTCAAATTCTACACTATACAGACTTCTTTATCTATTTTTCATAATCTAGAATAAATATCATATAGGTGCATCAAGTTTATCTTTCAATCTGTGTGAATATGAGAGAGGAGCAAAATAGTCATGAAAATATAATTGTAACTCATAAAGATTTTTTTTTGGATAGATGTGAAGAAATAGTTCAAAATGTTTGAAACTCATTAAATCACTGTGTGAGATATGTGAACACAAACCACCATCGTCTATAAAAGGGGGAAGAAGACACATGAATATAGATTTGAATTCTAAATGTGTTGACAATTCGTTGAAAACTCATCATTGAAAAATATGTCTTGCTTAATTACTTAATGAAATATTCCTATTGATTAATTTAATATATTGAAATAGAAACAGAATAAAGTCCAGTACCACATCTAAGCATCATGAGTCATGACTATATTCTTTTCTTCACAAATGTATATTTGTGACTTTAAATACACAGTTTAAAATATTTTAACATTGGTAGGATACAAGTAATATTCTAAACTTCAATGGCAAAATATATAATATTACTCCTGGCTTATATAATTGCAACACTTTTAATTTGGTATTTTTGATCGTATCACTTTTATTGTTAACATATTTAAATGATTATTACAATATTACTTTATTCACACACTCTATTTTGATTTTTATTTTATTCACTAATGTATTAAACAATTTTCTTATATAAACCATTATAAATTTGTCCCATGTTAAGATATGACTTTAAAAGTTTGTAATTTTTACTAATACTCAAA